GGATTTTGGTATTAATAAACAAATTCATGAACATATACACTGTAAAGATTAAATAAAAGATTTGTTTTTGTTAATGTTAATTACTCTTCTTTTCCTTATGTGGGTATATAAAATATTAGCCTTTAAAGTTTAAACCGAATCCCACAAATCACACTTATTGAACTTTTCAAAGCAAGCTAATCGCCGTCACCTAGATTTTATTAAAATACCGAAATTACCCTTTGATTGCTCAGTGTCATCGTCCTCGTCACGCCTATTTTTTTTTGTTTATTTTACTTTTAAATATTTCTCGTCTTCGTTTTCGGCCTTCTCCGAGTGTTCTTATTATTCACAAGTCCAAAAAATTTCAGTCTTCTTCTTCTCACAATTCTCCGAACATGCCTTTGATTTCTATATTCTATAATCCCAGAAACCTTTCATTGTTACTATATATTCTCTCATAGCCAAATTTTTGGTAACAGAATCGGAGAGTTTTTTTTGTTTTCTCTTGTTTTTTCCCGGGAAAATATGGGGATTCTCTGGGATTCGTTACTCTTATTGCTTGTGGTGGTGATTGTTCTGTTCTTGGTTAGAGTTTTATTATTCAAAACTGGATTGATTTACATGGTGAAGAAATGGAGGAGAACGATTTTCGATTGTTTTCATGTTTACCAATTCTACAAGGTTCCAGAATTCAACGAGAACGTGCAAGAGAATCAGCTTTACCGGAAAGTTTACACGTATCTGAATTCGTTAAGCTCGATCGAGAATTCCGATTTCACGAATCTCTTCACAGGTAAAAAAACTAACGAGATCGTACTCCGATTAGATCGGAATCAAGTCGTCGGAGACGAGTTTCTCGGTGCTAGAGTTTGTTGGATCAACGAAGAAGACGAAGAAGATGGATCTAAGAATTTCGTTTTGAAGATTCGTAAAGCTGATAAACGAAGAATCCTCAGTTCGTATCTGCAACATATACATACAGTTTCCGATGAGCTTGAACAGAGAAATACAGAGCTTAAGCTGTTCATCAACATCGGAATCGGTGATGATGATTCCAGGAAGAAGAAGAAGGGAAGGTGGAGATCGATTTCGTTTAATCATCCATGTACATTCGAGAACATCGCCATGGAAACAGATCTGAAGAACAAGGTAAAATCCGATCTCGAATCGTTTCTTAAAGGGAAACAATATTACAATCGTCTTGGTCGAGTTTGGAAAAGGAGTTATCTCTTATACGGACCTTCCGGTACCGGAAAATCAAGCTTCGTTGCAGCAATGGCGAATTTCTTGGATTACGATGTTTACGATATAGATCTATCAAAAGTAGAAGATGATTCAGATCTGAAGATGCTTCTATTACAAACCAGATCCAAATCAGTGATCGTAATCGAAGATCTCGATCGATTTCTCTCGACGAAATCATCAACAGTGACGACTTCTGGGATTTTGAATTTCACTGATAGTATTCTCAGCTCTTGCGCCGCCGATGAACGGATCATGGTGTTCACGATGACTGGAAAAGAACAAATCGACCCGGCTATACTCCGACCGGGTCGGGTCGACGTTCATATCCATTTTCCGTTATGTGATTTCACGGCGTTTAAAACGCTCGCGAACAACTACTTAGGTGTGAAAGAGCACAAGCTTTTCCCACAAGTTGAAGTAATATTCCAAAACGGAGCTTCTTTGAGTCCGGCGGAGATCGGAGAATTGATGATCGCGAATCGTAACTCGCCGACTCGTGCGTTGAAATACGTCATCAATGCGCTACAGACAGACGGAGATCGGAGAGGAACTGGACGGAGGTTGCTTCTAGAGAACGGTTCGAGAAGATCGATATCGGAAGAAGTCGCCGGTGATATGAGTGGTCCACTTTGCGGCGGCGGAGGAAGTTCGCCGGCGGTGAAAGAGATTAGGAAGCTGTATGGGTTATTGAGAATCAAAAGTAGTAGAAAATCTGAGTCGTACGATGTGGCTCGAGATTAAAAAGTCAAAAATAGCCACGTGGGTTGATTTTATTGGTTGGGAGAGACAATGTTACTCTTTTTTTTTTTAAGCTTAATGTATAGAAGTTTTACAAAGACGAAAATTTGTTTTTACAAGAGAATTCGAAATTAAATTTATTTTGGGCCGGTTGTTAAAAAAAGCCCAATTGAAAAGTTAGTTGAAATTCCAAATATACCCTTGTTGATCGAAGGGCTCAAAGAGAGATGTGAATTAGATCGAACGGTCATGAGCACAGCGTCCATAACACGCTTTGGTTAATTATAAAACTAAAGTTATTAAACGAAACCTCGTCGTCTTCTTCGCCTAGCCTTCTTCGTTTATCGTCGTCTTTTAGGGTTTTACTTGCTTCAGATTCTTTGAGGTAATCGCAGAAAACGATGATTTCGAGTTTTCGTGATACTTTCTGCGAGCTTGTTGATTATAAATTGTCTGATTATTTGATTTATGTTGCATCGTTAGGAATTCGATTTCTTCTGCAAGTATGAGACCTGTGTTCGTTGGGAATTTCGAGTATGATACTCGTCAATCGGATCTTGAACGGTTGTTCAGCAAGTACGGGAGAGTGGAGAGAGTTGATATGAAGTCTGGTAAAAGTGTTAACAGTTTTTTTTTTTTGGTTGCAATTATTGATAGATTTTTGGAAATTAGGGATTTTTTTGCTGTTTCGTTTGATATAGGATTCTGGATTTTTGAGAATTTGTGCCACTTTAAGGCATGATTTTGGAGCTGTATTGATGCTGTTTCTACTGAAGCATGATTTAGTGTTGATTGTAGAGAGAATTCAAAAAGGGATCACTAGTGTTGAATCAAGGATTTTGCTCGTATTTAAGTGTTTGTTTGGTCGCAGGAGCTATCTCCAAAGGAGCATGAGTTTTTCTCTTTTCCTGGACTTGCCAACTTCTTCCTGATATAGATTCCTACAGTCATTTTCATGCCTACCTTTATCATGTTGTGCCTACAAATCTTCGCTGAATCTAGAGAATCCATCTTGCCTTCTTTCTTCACACCTTCCTACTGTCAGAATGGTGAAGCAGGGCTTTAGCAAACCATTCAGAATTGATTTTCTTTTTGGATTTTTAGTGCCTTTTGATATGCTACAACTACACATCTTTAATTTCTTCTACATCATGGAAGGCCTCTACATCTTATGTACACCAGCCTTCACATTGATGCAGGTGTTGTATATTTATATAGTTTTTTTGTACTTTCTCTAGGTGAAAAAGGTGTCTTCTAGTTGACTAATTCTTGGATTGCAAATTCTTTGGGCTGGAAACATTGTTAACTTCTGCGCTGCAATATTCGGGCTGGAAACATTGTTAACTTGTGCGCTGCAATATTCTTAATCTTGTGCTTTATTTTCTTGCAGGTTATGCTTTTGTGTATTTTGAGGATGAGCGTGATGCTGAAGATGCAATCCATGGGATTGACAATACCCCTTTTGGCTATGAGAAACGCAAGTTGTCGGTCGAATGGGCAAAGGTATCTCTTTTCTTCTTTTACTAATGAAATTATATCCTCTGATTTGTCTTTTTTCAGAAAGCTCTAAGTGTCTTCTGGCTTTCAGGGTGAACGTGGGAAGCCTCGTGATGGAAAGGCAGCCTCGAATCAGAGGCCTACAAAGACACTCTTTGTCATCAACTTTGACCCAGTTCGCACAAAAGAGCGTGATATTGAGAGACACTTTGAGCCGTATGGTAAAGTTCTCAATGTCCGCATAAGGCGCAATTTTGCATTTGTTCAATTTGCAACCCAAGAAGATGCAACTAAGGCCCTTGACTGTACACAGAACAGGTAACAACACACACGCTTAGTACCCCTTTTTTGTATCTAATAGACCAACTTGAAAAGCCCTTACACGTATGTCCTCCTTGGCAGCAAAATATTTGACCGGGTTGTTTCTATTGAGTATGCTTTGAGGGATGATGATGAAAGAGAAGATAGATATGCTGCTAGTCCGAGAAGGAGATCTCCTAGTCCAGTGTATAGGAGGCGTCCTAGTCCTGATTATGGCCGTCCACGAAGTCCTGATTATGTCCGTCCTCGTAGTCCTGGATATGACAGGTACAAGGGTCCAGCTCCTTATGAGAGACGTAGGAGTCCAGATTATGGTAGAGCTAGGAGTCCGGGTTATGACAGATACAGGAGGTAACAATACTTGGCTTTTTTTACTGTTGGGTTGTAGATGCTTAAGATTGTTTACTTCGCTGTTTCTCTAATTGTCTAATTGTTTTTCAACAGCCGGTCTCCTGTTCAAAGATGGAGAGCTTGAAGGTGGTGTTGCACAATGGGTTTCGGAATGTTTGGGTTTTCTATGTTAGTCTGAAATTGAAACAAGCTTTTAGTACGAGTTTTCGGACTCGGATTGTATTTGTTTTGCTGCTATATGTGCTTTTAGTAGTAGCTGATAATGACAATAATATCTTTTGGAATTGGAATAATTTCAAGTTTGGTGGATTCTCTCTAATCATTCATCTTTTCAGGACTATAAGATCTTTTATATTCAGCAACAAAGTTCTTAGAAGAAATAGAGAATACACGAAAAGAGATAAAAAAAAAGGATGGATCAAGGCAGAGAAGAGTGATTGTGGTTGCAGAGTTCTTGGCTGATTGCTTTCTCAAGCCAAGTTTCGGCATCTTCCATCATCTCGGGGCTTAACCGAACCATGAGAACACAAAATTCGGTTTGGTTAAGAGCTCCATCTCCGTCGAGGTCTCCTTCTCTAACCATTCCTTCCGCGTCTTCCTTGCTCATTCCTTCAATCCCAAGTATCCCTGAGTTCCTCCTTAGACTCTCAGCTGTGATCAGATCTCTTTCTGGATCCGCTAGCAAACTAAAACCTTTGCATAACTCGGATACAAACTCTTCAACGTCCATCTTATCTGCCATAACCGGTAACATGTCTTCGTATTCGGTCTCCATCTTC